ATATATATATGTGTGCAGGCGGAGCCTGACATCTGTCGTCATCACGTCACCTGCCTAAAGGCGTGATTAGATAGAGGTGGCTTCAGCCAGGACACGCAGGGGCGTGGTTTCCAATACATGATGTGTTGTACCGAGTGAATTGACTGAAAGGGAACCCTGAATCTGTACCTGTCTGGTGAGTTAAAACTGTAAATGTGGTTTGTCCCTGTTTCGCTATTTAAATCGCGCAGTTCTTTGCTTTTATTGAATGAAAGCCTACGGTGAATGGCGTTAGCATCAGCACTAGCTACTGTTAGCCTGGCAGTTTAACATGTTATTTGCAGCTAATCTTAAATTTAAAGAAACATTATGCCTATGGTTTGTAGCCGCATGCTGGCAAAACTATATAAACGGCTTAATTGAACAGTTACAACTCTGAGTAAGCTTGGAATAATAAACAATCCTCTTGTTTACATCATGGCAGGATTAAAAGATGAGGAGCTTAGCCCCCAGGGGCTATAAAAGTGTCCGGTTTGTTTAAATAAAAAATATGCTAACCGAGTTATTAGAGGCAATTTATTTTTGTTTATCATTTATTTAAAATGACTGCAGCTGTATGAAACCCTCCAGTTCATCTCTAAAAGTTACTAATGAACTAGCACCCAGTGAATTTATGTTTAGAATAAGGAGGAGAAACCGTCTAATCACGACTTCTATAAAATTATTACAATTTTGAGGAGCTTATGAACGTTACTTCCAGAACGGTTGACATTTTTGATTTTGCATGTGTGTGTCTTCGGGGAAAGACGAGGTAGTTGATGTCAGTAATAGCAATTAGCTTACATCGGGATATAGCTTTGTCAGTCCGTGAACAGACGGCTGAGCCACTGATAAAGAATTGTTCTTGCCTCTTTTTAAAACATCCTTATAGTATTTATGCCAAATTTAGATGAAAAATGCTTTGATAAACAGCGATGGTATATCCTCATAYTTGTAAACAACAGCCAAGCGGAAATGTGGAAACCGCTTCTGTTATGAATTATGGGTAGTGGYGCGAAATCAAGAATAMTGTGGATACTTTGCGTGGTAAAACAATTTTACCTCATTTCACTGAAATAATTTTTAGATTTTTTTTTTATTAAAAACGTGTTGTGAACACTTTCATGTAAAAAAAACACTACCTGTTACATGAAACCCTGTGGTTTGATTTTGTTTAGTTGATGAACATCAATTCTTATGTTAGTTTAATAGTTTATTAATTTCGATTAAAAACAAAAATTTCAATACAACAAAAAAAGAAACAAATCTCATCAAATGAAAGGAAGCAGAAGAAAAAAATCTTAACATCTGCCCCTATTTAACAAAAAAAGAATAAAAATAAAAATATATACACATGCATACGTGTACACATCCACACATTCATATTTACATATATATACACATACATATGCAAACATATACACATGCACGTATATCATTTTACACCCTTATGTGACCAGGTTACAGAGCTGAGTGCAAAAATGACTAATGTGAACTTACCTGTCCAGGTGGGATGAAATATCCCTGAGGCGAGCCAGCAAAAGGCAGCTGCTGCTGGGGGATCATCATCATCTGGGAACCGGATTGGTAGATATGCGTAGGTCCAACAGGTCGAGGCCCACTACTTGTAGGTACCCTTGGAGCACTGGTGGTCATTGCGGGTCGGTTTTGGTAGTAACTCTGGAGAAAAGTTAAAACAGAAGATATGAGAAATAAAACAGCAGACAGAAACTTGTCATTTACCGTCTCATCTGCACATCTAGCCCTGCTTAGAAAACGTTGCAACTCTTATTTGCACGTCTGTCCCGTCACACACATTTATCATCGAGAAGCAATGAACTTCTAGCAGCTGCTAACGTTTACAGTCAAATTCAGTTGCTGTCCCACACACCATCTACACTGCACAAAGCATGTGTTCCTGTCAAACTGAGAGAAGCCCAAATTAAGAGGTGGTGGGGCGAAGAGAAAAGCCGTTACCTGCAACGCTCTGTATCCACCCTTCAGCCGCACAACACATGAGCAGAGAGCAAGAGAGGGAGTGAGATTAAGGTGAAAATGAGGAATAGACAATGAGAGAGATTGAGATTACAATGTGTGAGAGAGAAGTGTTATGAGAAGCAAGCGTATCTCGCAGATGTTAACAGCCATCAATGCACATGCAATTCTATACAAAAACATAAAAACTAAATCTYCTCTGGTCCATCAAATCCTATAAAATTTATTTTGGAAATCGCAAGTGCATGCAGATACTGATAAAAGTACCAACAGTACATATTACACCCATCAATAGTCAGAGTAATCAAATCCAAAGCCGGAATTCTCTGACAACTATCCCCATATGTGGGTATTTTAGAAAAATACATGATTGTGGACAGGTGAAGGTCTTTTTCACTGATATCCGTTGTCCATTATTTAAATTGGCAAACAGTTAAATTAAAGAACAAGTAAGAACATGGAACTTCAGCCACCAGCTGTAATGTGAAGAACTTACCTGCTGATGACTACCAGCCTATCCAAACCATTTAATCACCAGAGTTTTAGACTTCAAAAGTACTAATCAAGATTTCTTTGGTGGAAGAGATTTTGATCAAAAAAATGATTTAATGTGGAGCCATASTCTGATGACATTTGTAAGTTACTTCAAGGACAAGTTGCTGTCGTATGGGTGGACAGACGAATAAAATCATTTCTACATTACTCTGATATCTAGCTGGAGCATAGATGACGTTTTAACAAAGGGTCACCTGTGACCTTGACTTTTCACCTTGTGATCATCCTTATTGATGATCAATAAGAGGCCCAGCTGTGCAGTCTGGCATTGCTATGTTTCAGGATTAAAGTTACAATAATCTAATTTTTATTTATTTATTTTCACAAAGGAGTCATCTGTGACCTTGACCACATGACCTTATAATGAAGGCAACAGGTACCATCCTTGTCCCTTAAGGTGTCCATAGACAGACAGCGCCATACTATAATACATAATGTTCAATATTAGAAAAAACAGTAGGTACTAAAAATCACATTAAGGCTCCGTAACAAAGTGCCTTTTGGCATTAAAAAAAAATCATGTTAATCTTTTTAAAAATCAAATATTTTCCTGTCAGGCTCCTCCTCAACTACCTCCTTTTWGACAGCAGAAACCAGGAACTAAACAGAGATTGAGATCCTGGAGAGAAACCTTCAAAATGACTGGTAGGGAGGTAGTACTGTTGAGATAACACTCACCTTTGTGATGAGGCTTTTGTGTGTGAGGGGGCAAACATTTCTAATACTGGAATTTCTTTTCGACATCCTGTCTCGGTTACGTTCCTGAATACCTCCATTCCAACTAAAAACTTTAAACTTCAATTGCACAGTAGGAATAAAATGTTTTACGAGCGACACCGTCAAAATTAGTGATCCRGCTTTAATAATATGAGAGGGTAGCACGCACCAAAGGCTGCAGCTATTGAGAGATACAAAATCACTTGGCTTATGGCGCTATGATGCAGTTTATTTGGCATTTGAAAATACATTTCCTCAAAAGTTATTTTGAATCTGAAAAGAGCTTAAGTGAGCAGTAGTGTTAAGAGCTCAGCAAACAGTTTCAGTTTCACCCATTGTTTGCTTTGTTACTGCCGAGAGCCTGCAGGAGTCATGGGCGGGGTGTGTGTGTGTGTGTGTGTGT